CCATGACACTTTCCCTGTGAGTGTCTGTCTCCAAGTTCCCCATTCTTATAAGGACAACAGTCATATTGGATTAGGGGCCCATACTACTCTAGTATGAACACATCTTAACCAATTACATCTGCAACAACCCTGTCCCCAAGTAAGGTCACTTTCTGAGGTACTAAGGTTTAGGAGTCCAGAATATGAATTCTGGGGGCACATAATTCAACCCATAACAAAGACCAGAGTGCTTCGGTGTAGAAAATCTAGCAATCAAATGCTGGAGAGCAGCATTATTGTGCAAACCCATGTTACTTTCCATATTCAGATTAACTAACAGACCTATCTTCACAGCCTCTTTGCAATAAGGAGGAAGTCCTTATGTGTGAATGAATGATTGAATGAATGAATGAATGAACAAATCTATGGAAAGAGAGTAGAGAAAGCCTCCTGTGAGTGTGTCTGCTTCAGAGGTGAATTTGTGCATCCCACAGTTCTTGGAGCCCTGGTAGGCTCGCAGAGGAGAAAGGGGACAGACATAACTGTTCACTTCCTGTGTGTCAGGCATTATACCAGGTACGTCCCAGCATTTCATTTCATCGTCACTTCATAGGGCGAGAGTGGCTATAGTATCATTGTTTTACTTTCTTCTGAACAAATAGCTGTTGGCCACCTGTTAAATGCCAAGTGCTGAGCACCAGGACAAGGAGAGAAAAGACAGACTCTAAAGAATGAAGGTGGGCTGGGCTTAACCATTCCGTGGATGGGACAATTGAGGCACAGAGGATTGAAGCAGCACCCATAAGTCCCACACTGAGTTTGGTCTTACTCCATAGTCCCCGAGCTTCTCACTTCCCTGAGTAAGCCTCAAGACCTCCTGAGTTCAAAGGTGATTTTGCCACCTAGTAGTGATCTCTGTTCTTCACCTACAGAGTGATCCACTTTGCAGGGGCTCTAGACAGTTAAATGAGGCAAGGTGCCCCAGTCCTATCTCATATTACACACACAACAAAACTTGTGTCTTTGTTTCTGCTCTCCTTTTCCCACCGTGGAAGCCCTGGAGTGTGGTGTGATCTCTAAGCCCAGGCTGAGAGCTTCCCTTTGCTCCTCACCTGATTATAAATGGTGCATCCTGTGACTTTGCTTGGGGGCTGGCATGATCCACCTTTTCCTGACTGAGTGTCACTTGAAGTTTTAATGGGTCCGCAAGAAAATTAGCAAAGCAGGGCCAGCCCGTGTCTCACTCAGGAGAGTGTGGTGCTGATAATACCAAGGCCTTGGGTTCCGATCCTATATAGAGATGGCCGGTTAGCTCACTGGGTGAGCGTGGTGCTGACAACACCAAGTCAAGGGTTAACATCCCCTTACCGGTCATCTTTTTAAAAAAAAAGAAAATTAGGGCCGGCCCGGTGGCGCACTGGATAGTGCGCCGCTTGGGAAGCGCGGCGGCGCTCCTGTCCAAGGGTTCGGATCCCACATNTTGGGGGCTGGCATGATCCACCTTTTCCTGACTGAGTGTCACTTGAAGTTTTAATGGGTCCGCAAGAAAATTAGCAAAGCAGGGCCAGCCCGTGGCTCACTCAGGAGAGTGTGGTGCTGATAATACCAAGGCCCTGGGTTCCGATCCCATATAGAGATGGCCGGTTTGCTCACTGGGTGAGCGTGGTGCTGACACCACCAAGTCAAGGGTTAAGATCCCCTTACCAGTCATCTTTTTTAAAAAAAAGAAAATTAGCAAAGCAAATCAAGATCATCTAGAATATAAGGTCCTTGTTTTTAAAGTTTCACTGTTGTTTTCGTACACATTGTATCTTAACATTGCAAACATATCAAGACAAATTAGTTCAGCGATGATGTAAACAGAGGGGAGATTACAAGAAAGTAAGAAAATTATCCTACCTGAATATGGGTCAGGAATTGAATGGCTGGCCTCTGTGTGCCCATCCTCATTGTAAAAATGCATTCATTTAAATGGAATGGAATGCTGTTTTCTCCAGCCTCGGTTTTCTCATCCGTAGAAAGGGGTAATGATACCCACCTCATTGAATCATTGTGGGGATTAAATGCAATTTGCATCTGAAGGTATCTAGCACAGAGAGGAGCTCATAATAGGAACGTAGTAAACCTCCTCACCTCTCCCCTCATCTCTGCATTAATCATAACATCGCCTGTCTTGTCCCCCTCCCAGAATACCATGTTTAGAGATGTCAGCAAACTGGTGTCTGTCTGAAAGTGAGGATTTCCTATTTGAGATAACAGTGTGTAGTTTCTACAAGTTAGTACAGAAAACCGACCAAGCATATTTTCTTGCTGGGTGGACTCAGGTAAAATTGAGCTCCTGAATACCCAGGATTTATGGAATTTGTTGCTAATATTAAAGAGATTTACATATCTGTTATACTCCTGCAGGTTTAATCTGATCACTACAAAATGTTCAGAATACATTGCTGTTTCAAGGACAACTTGATTATTTGGGTGAAAATTGGACCTTTATTTGTAGAAGCTTTTAGACTTTTGATGACAATCTATTTAACTCATTCTTTGCAGTTCCTTCTGCTGCCCCTGAAAACGTGTCAGCTGAGGCTGTTAGCTCGACCCAGATTTTACTGACATGGGCTTCTGTACCTGAGCAGGACCAGAATGGTCTCATATTGGGTTATAAGGTATGTGTGAAGGTGACCTTCCTTTGAGTAAGAGGCTGTCCGTGAAGGTGTTACCATACGTCATTACCCAAACCGATGAGTTTATATTTTCTTACAGATCTACAGCACTGGCCAGTTTCGCGATTTCTGTATTAGCTGTCTAATCCGAGCCTCATTTGCAGTCTAGGATTTAGGCATTGATATAACCATTTAACAAATGCTCAAACAGGACAGCAATAGTAAAGTGAACTAGAAGTTGAACTCAGACTGCCGAGCTCACACCCCTCTCTGTTCTGACCCTCTCTGGCTGTGGTACCTTGGGCTAGTTACTTAAACTCTGTGCCTCTGTTTCCTCCCCTGTAAAATGGGAATGATGATAGTAGCTACTTCCTGAGGGTGGTGTGAGAATTAGGTGGGTTATTTTGTAAAGTGTGCCGTACTTGGGTTAAGTGCTGAGTAAGAGTAGATAGACATGTGCCTGTTTGTACATGTGTCATCACCACCCACGGAAGTCCCAGGCGGTGGCATCAGTTCTAAGGGTGAAACCTGTCCCAACTTCTCTGGAGAACCATTTCTGGGTTCTGTCTTCCATGCTTCTACCCAGACCCTTTAAAACCTCCTTCTGTTTCTTGTTCCATCCCTAGGGGGTGACGAGCACCACTTCTCCCTCTGCTCCTCAGCTCAGCTCTCCCAAGCAGCAGAATGAGCGTTTCTGGATCTGGCCAGCAAGGCCACGCTATGCTTGTCTCATCCGCTGCTCCATGAATTTTGAGCATGTCTCTTCTGTGCCTTTCCATAATTTAGATCCCTATTCTTTGTTTCCCCCGCACCTGTTCTCATATTTCTCCCCTTCCCTGGGCATTGTAGTTCCTCTCTTCTGGCTCCATGATAGATGGCAATCCTGTTACATGTGGTAATCCCATTGAGTGGGTCCAGTGACCAAAACTCCATACCACATGCTTAGGTCCTAGAGAAAAACTCCTGCCTGATGGCTGTCTTTTAGCCTTTTGGGTCACTAGTTTTAGGGAACAGTCCAGAGAGCATGAGCTTTGAGTGAGGACTTAGGAAATAAGTAGTAAGAGGAGAACATCTTGGGATGGCTGTGGCTCTCTTCTGGCTCCATGATAGATGGCAATCCCATTACATGTGGTAATCCCATTGAGTGGGTCCAGTGACCAAAACTCCATACCACATGCTTAGGTCCTAGAGAAAAACTCCTCTCTGATGGCTGTCTTTTAGCCTTTTGGGTCACTAGTTTTAGGGAACAGTCCAGAGAGCGTGAGCTTTGAGTGAGGACTTAGGAAATAAGTAGTAAGAGGAGAACATCTTGGGATGGCTGTGCCTGTGGCCTGGGCAGCAGGAGCTAGCCCAGGGACTGGGGAGCTGCAGGTTCACATGGAGAACAGCAGGTCTTCTGGTGCAGGAGCCCAGTTTCCATGGAGCCGGGAAACTGAGTGGGCTGCTGGCTACTTTTGTAGGAAGCAGAATGTCTCCGTGTTCATAATTGAGTCCTTGTTTTAATGGACATGGTTGGCATGGCTGCAGTTGGGTGCCTCAGATCTTGCAAATTATAGCCAGGCAGCTGATTCACCAAGCCGTGGGCTGGGTGATAACTCAAGCTACCCTCCTACTCTGGAGTACAATCACTTCATCACCCTCTTCCTCCCCAAATGCCAGTTAGAAATTAGACCCATAAGACTTCAACATAGCTGTCCTAGAGGAGGAAACACAGTTGGTTGGTCCTTGATTTATGGCTCTGAGCCCGCACCCCGTGCCCATGGAGGCCCCTTCCTTACACACTGCGTCATCATAACTATCCACACTTGTGTGTCGATGCTTCAGGTTCTATACAGGGCCAAAGATCTGGATTCTGAGCCCAGGAGTCACGTCGTGCGAGGGAACCATACGCAGTCAGTGCTGCTGGCGGGCCTGCGCAAGTTTGTGCTGTACGAGCTCCAGGTGCTGGCCTTCACCCGCATCGGGAACGGGATCCCCAGCTCACCCATCATCATCGAGCGCACCAAAGACGACGGTATGTTTCTGGTCTGCACCTCTCAGGTTTGCTTTTCCAATCCAGAAAACTTGTATGGTTGTCATTTTTAACCTGATTTTCAAACCACTTTCTTTTTTTTCTCAGTTGAGGGAAACAAAACAAAGTTGTTTTTCAAGTACTGAGCATTTATATGATCAATTTCATCCTGGAGTGAATTTTTACAGCCTAATTATGAACCTATGCAGAATTTCAGTTGTAACTCTGCTGTAGGCAGTGCTGGAGAGAGGCACAGTGAAGGCCGGTGGGCTGGGCTGTACAACGTGCGGCTGCTCCTTTTGGTGGAGTCTGCACACATGTACTTAAAAAAAAATCTTCTCTGGACCTGTGTGCCTCAATTCTCTTGGTACTTCCCTGGTCTCACTGATTGCATTATGAGAGATAATTAGAAAGTGGGCTCCTAGGGTAGACCTGAATAACAAGCACATCTTGCTGGCTTTGTTTTTATGAAAAAATAAATCATCAGTAAATATGTTTTTCTACTTTGCAGATGTCAAACACTTAAAGGTTAGCTCCTTTACATTTTCATTATTAAACAGATTATAATGAGTGAATCGGAGGGAGAAATGCTGATCTCCCCCACAAAAAACCCACCTCAGGGATCAGAAGCATCTGACAGAAGTGAAACAGCTGTAGATTTTCTTAAGCATCTTTCCTGAAGTAACTAAGCCCCCACACATACTCTAACTGCTGAGTGCAAACCACCCTCCCCATTGTACATGGAGAGCACACAGCTGCGCTCGGCCTGTGAGAGAAATGAGCACAGCAAGCTGTTTTGTCCATCTGTCCCCTGCACTGGGTCTCAGGGTGGAGGGATCCATTTGAGAGGAGAAGTGGAGCATGGACATTGCTTCTTTAGAAAAGTATACAAAAGCTGTTCACTTTTCAAATGAAAAGTGAAAAGGGGCGTTTTAGAAACTGTCCCTCAACACTAGGTCCACTGTAATTGTTTCTTCCTGAAGTACGTAATGTCGAGTCATGGAATGATTTTTCTTATTCTCTCACAGTCCTAATATAAACACATCTTTCCTCCTCATTTTAACGTAATCCAAATGATCATCCCTGGGGATGGTTCAGGGATCGATGATATCACAGTTTGCATTATTTGTGGATTAGTCCTGGCTTGGGAGCCTGTGGCCTCATTCAGACATTTCTTTTACCCAAACAGAGGTGTCATAGAACGCTTTCAAAATTTAAAATACTGTTCTCAGCTTAATATCCAGAGGCAGGGTTCAAAGGCCCTGGAATGACTGCAGCACGCATCATTTTATTTTTGTATTGACTGTTCCATGCCCATTGCCTCTTACCTGGTAATCAATCAGTTATTAAGTTCCAATGAGAAGTTCTTATGCTGGCCACACACTTCCTTGCCTATCCGTTTAAGTAGATCTATTTTACAAGGACTATGATCCTATTATTCAATGGTTCCACAATACATAACTGTTTTTGAATTATTGGTGCACCGTACCACACAGAAGAATTATTATATGTACTTGTGCACTTAATTTTCTAGGACAGTGCAGGAGAGGGGTGACATGCATAAGAGAGAAACCATTGATTATAAACACACTATTTCATCAATATTCATAACCTCCATTTAGAGTTGGAGAGGACTTTAGGCCATCTTATCTAACACTTGCTTTGCAGATGTCAAACCCAGTAAAGGAATCTGCACTCGGATCAGTGGAATCTTTACTTTCAACTTGATGTGCACTCTACAGAGTCATTTAGTGGCCAGCACACTAATGTCGTGGTATGCTAGTTACACTCATGCTACTCCTAGCATCGTTTATGAGCACAGCTTTTGAAACTTGGGAAGAAGTGGGCAGGATTCAAATGAAGTGTTTTCTCAAAATCATTAGAGAGCCACACAGAGCCAGTTAGATTCCGCAAGTCATTCATCCAAAACTTTAGTGTTCCACCTGTGAATAGTGTCATCTATGGTGGTTACTGTACTCGGCTGATCCTCAGGATCCTATGTAACCTGTCACATGCCCAGAGAACATTGTCATGGTGCCTTTGTCACTGGTGTTTTTTCCCTTCAGCCCCAGGCCCACCAGTGAGGCTTGTGTTCCCTGAAGTGAGACTCACCTCAGTGCGGATCGTATGGCAACCTCCGGAGGAGCCCAATGGCATTATTCTGGGTAAGGCAGCAGTGGTGATTAAAGGGAGAGAAATAACAATTAGATTGGTTTCTTCCTTTTTTATTAGATATTTGCAAGGTTAAAAAATTGTGTCTATGGCAGCCTAGCATTTTCTGAACTGAGATATCATGAGCCCCTTTACTGTTTTCTGGCACTATATGCTAAGTTGTGTTTTTTTTTAATGAAGTGAAATTTACATTTTATTAACCCAGAATTTCTTTCATTTGTTTGAGGTTCATGGCAATACCATTTGCAATCGACCTTCCCTTCCACTGTGAAATATCCAGGCTATTTTGATGTGTATTTGGGAAATAGCCGACTCGTTTTCATAGCCTTGGGGCTTTGCTCCCAAGTTCTTGGACATGTCTTCCCGATGCAGTGCTTATACCTAATCCTTGTAGGAAGCTCCTGAGGCGAAGTGTGTGCCTGAGGTCCCAGGGAATTTACTTTTAACTTTTGATTCAGAGAAGCAACTCTGATGATATCGATGAAAAGCCTTAATTTTTCCCACTTCACCAAAGGCTGCAAATGATATTTTAAAATATTATCAGTTCCTTTATTTGTTCACCCTTTCACTGAGACAAATTAAGGACTTTACTTCTGTGTGCCAGGCATCGTAGGAAGTAAGGAATGAATCAGACATGTCCATCCTCAAGATGCACCTGCTCACGTGGCACACAAGTAACAATGCAATGTGATTAGTGACCTGATAGAGATTTCACTAAGTGCCCCGCAAGCATCTCCTTCTGGGTGGGGTCTGGTGAATGGAAGGCTGCTTTTGAGCTGGGTCTTAAAGATAAGTGGCTGCCAGAGCCTTGGAAGAAGGGAAGAGAGCAACCTATTCAGCCAAAACAGAATGCCTTTTGCATGTAGGAGCACAGACAGAGCCAAGGCTGGAGGTGTAAGCCAGGTTGGGTTAGGAACTGCTATGCCCTGGAGAATGTGGCCCCGAGGCCCAGATATTTAAATTGGGCTTTTACAGGCCAGGGCTCCAGCCACAGAATATTGCTCCAGACCCAGGTCAGCACTGACATGATATTTACCTAATCCTTAATACACAGGAGACCCCTGACTCATTAGCTTGTGTTTTAGGTAGTTTACAGTAAAATTATACATCTGAACTTACAAACCAGTGTTAAAATTCACCACTTTTACCTGCTTTTGATCTTGGGATTCTAAGATTTGGTTTGAAGAAAAGGTTTCACGTTATTAGAAAAAGAGTTTGAAAACCTGTGCTGTGCACAGTAGGGAGTCATCCAAGGACTTTGAGCAGGAAAGTGACATGATCAGATTTCTCTTTTAGATAATAACACTGACAGCCATGAGAAGAGTGGGCTGAAAGGCAAATATTTGTTGAGCACTTGCTTCATTAAGATGAGCCTGGAGCATTCCTAAGTCATCCACACAAGCAGGCTGTGGCCTATTTTCACTTTGACTCTTCCTGTGTGATTCCTGGAGTTGTTAGATAGAAGTATTTTGCTATGAGTATAGCATTTCCGAGTTAGGGGACCTTTGGAATTTCAGGTTCTTGTTACTGAAATCACTAATAAGCAGCTGCAGAAGCCACTGTTGAAGAGAGCATTTCAGGTCCTGCTCCAGCTAAGAAGGGGCTGCAAGTCACATTGGGGACCTGCACCATGAGCCCCAGACCTGGAGGGAGGAAACAGTCTGCAGAGCAGATGGCCAGGGAGAAGAGGTTTGTCAGAGCCCACACTCAGGCAGGACCTGCCATCAACACTGCACCCAGGGGCAGCCTTTTCTGGAACAAGCAGGGCTAAATATCTGATTACCCAGGAGTCATCCCCAGCAGGTTGTAAAACACAAAATAATTTTAGATGCACAGAATGTGAAATTCTGACTTGTCTCATAATCCCAGGAGGCCACTAGAACTGTGTTCTCTGTGAAGAAGCAGGGTCTCCCCAGCCCGCCCTGCCCTGGAGCTCCTGGTTCCCACTGCCAGCCTCCGGAAACCCTCCCAAGCAAGTCCTGATTCTGTGATCATCTCTGTGTGTTCACCATAGCCATAACGGGCTGACAAGAATCAGTTCTAGAGTAGGACCGCATGGAGATATGTAGGAGCAAAGCGTGCATTTCAGCAATGTTTCTTCCTTACTGTAGATGGACCCGGGTTCTGATATCGATGCCATGACATGGAACTGCTCGCTCGAGGTCTTCCTTGCAAGTATGGAGAAGCTCTGGCCTCAACCGGCTCTAGGCTTTTCTTTGTACTTGCTTGATCCTGTGCCTGAAGGACCCCCTTCCCTGGGGGCTTCTACTCTTCCTTAAGATTTATGTTAGGTGTACTCTACCTACAAGTCTGTGCACCTGCTTCCATGCATATCCCCACCAGGTTAGGCATTTCTCTCTCTGCTCCCAAAGGACCTTGTGCCCACAAGCACAGCATGAGTCTCACTATCCAAGTGAAACTATCAGCTCATTTTGCAAACTCTCATTTACTTTTCAGAGTATCTTTAACACTTGTTTTTCTGATCATAAAAGCACTGTAAAATAATATTTCAAGCAACAATGAAATACTATTTTACATTGATCAGATTTGGAACCATAAGAAAGAATGGTAATACCAAGTAGGCATGAGGATGAGGAGAAACAAGACCCCTCACACATGCTTGTCAGGAATGTGGGTTGCTGCAGCCCCTTTGGAGAACAATCTTGAATGTTTAGGGAAGGTGAACATGTCCATACTCTCTGTCCCAGCCATTCTTCACTCTAGGCCTTATGCCCAAGAGAAATTCTTGCATGTGTACACAAGAATAAATGCAAAGGGATATTCACTAAAATTCATTTAAATAGCAAAAAAGAAAGCAGGTATAGTCTGCACAATTTACATGGCATGAATCCTGAGCACCTGCTTTTATTTTTCCCTGTGTTTCAACCACTGTGTTACAGACAGGCAGAATAGCAGAGCTGGTAAGATTTCAGACTCAGCAGCCACACTAGCTGGGTTCAGATCTCAGCCTACAGTTTACTAGCTGAGTGGATTTGTACAAGTTACTTAGCATTCCTGTGCCTCAGTTTCCTCATTCCTCAAAAGGGAATAACATCCATTCCTCCCTTATTGGGTTGAATGAGTTGCAAGTGGAGCACTTAAAACCATGTCTGCCACACAGTAAGTGCTCAATAAATGTTAGCTTTAATATCATATTTCATATTTTATCATTTCTCTTGGGCCAGAGGAAGCTGGAGGCTTAGAGTTGGGGGATGCTCACAAGCCTTCTATAGCACTCCAGGCTTAGCCTAGTCCTAGTATTTTCTTTGTGTCCACCCATGGTGTGTTGCATTGATTTGTTCTTCTTGACACTGGTGGCTGGAGCAGGGGGTTCATGCTGACAAGAGGAAGAAAAACCTAGAAAGGCAGTTTGGATTATAGAATGTTCCTAATGCACATCAAGAAGTTTGGATTTTATTTGTTGTCCTTGCAGGTCACTGAAAATTACCAAAACCCAGATAAGAAGAGGGTAATATTTAAATACTGTGAGCACTCCAACCATGGTAAAACAGATGCTGTATCAGATAGTGCTATGTCTACCTGTAATGCAGGAAACATTGCATGTGATCCTCTTTGGTTGTAATGGCACTTGCTTGTAATTGTAGCAAATGTTGTCTGGGTAACCTGTAACCTGTATGTTATTACAGCCAGCACAGCAAACTGTAAATGCTGTAGGAAAGATGGGAAGACAGTTTCTACAGATTCAGGTTGGTGTTCATGGGGAGAAAGGAAAACATCTTTTTGCATGACGCACTTTACATCCAGAGACCTTGAATCAGTGTTCCGGCTCTGGCAGCGTGGCCTTCTGAGTATATAAACACCTCTGCAGCTCGTGCTTTTGTAATCTATATCAAAACATGTTCTTGCGTTTCCAAAAGAGATTAACAGCATGAAACATGGGCAGGTGCCTAGAGGGAAAAACACTTGCTTATTTGCGTAAATATTTTACTATGGAGAGCTTTTAGCATTTAGAACCTTCCTTGGGGGATGCGGTTGGAACCACCTGAGGACTGCCATCCCTCCCTCACTTGCAAACTACTCCACATCCCATAAATGCTATTAAGCTAATGTGATGCATGTGCTCCTCAGACCCTCACAGGGCTGCCCCGCCAGGCACACTAGATTCCGTCCCTACCTCCAACCTGCCTACCGAGGACCTAACATTTACTTTTAGCTCATTACAAAGAGTGTCCGAGAACTCTGCTGCGAGTTAGGATCTCAACTGAATATAATCCATGTTTGCAAATTCATCGTTCTGATCCACTGTTGCATTTGTATGCTCCCAGTCCTCAAATGGATAAGCTGTAAAGCCAACATGCCACAGAGCATCTGGGTGAGGCTGATGCAGGCCTCCCAGGGTGATTCAGCTGCTTTTGGGTTCTCTGATCAATTCATGGATGTTGGTGGGGGTATAATCCTTCCCCCAGTATGAACTGATGGTGGCTACCCAGGGGGTCAGCAGTGCCATGCCCTACTAATGGCCTTGCTTTGGAAACCTGAGCTTCAGGGCCCCAGTGACATATCACTGAACAGGCAACTCTCAGACTGATGCCTTTTGTTTGCCTGAGAAGTGCACAATCCATAAAATGTGTGCAGCCACCTAAAACGTCTGAACCGAACTCCCGAAATCACTCTGTGTACAATGCTCTGGTATCAGTCATCCCATTTCACCAAGGAGCTGAGACCCCTACAAGGCCTGTTCTTAGAATCTCCTTTTTGTGCCTTGCATGATAGATGGTCCTGGAACTTCAAGCTGTAGCATATACCCTTCCTCAAATCTGATTTTCTAGATGTGAAATGTTTCCTCCATCTTCTGGGCATATTCAGAAAGCCACTGAGGCCTCTCGCTTTGTATTTTTAATCTTTGCTGTGGATCAATGCTCCGCGTACTTGGCCTTGCTCCTTTGAATGCCTGTATTATCATAATTCACCCATAGCCTTAAAAATAGGACTTCTCTCAGGCTGCATTTTACTCCTGCTATTGATTCAACAT